GATTAAAACCGCACCCTTCGGACAAAAAACCGATCCGCACCGAAATTTGTGCAGTTTTTCAAAATTTTAACCGCACCGAAAACTGAACCGTTGAAAAACCGAACCGAACCGCACCAAATATATCGGTTAGATTCGGTTTTTCAGTTTCGACTTGGTTTTGCTCCCCTATTCAGAAGTATTTCAAAATTCGACATTATATAAAATGATCCTTCATGAATAATGTTCTCTAACTTTGAAATCCACCATTTTGGAATTATGGCTTGAATCTTACTATCTTATAACAACAACTCATCCATAAAGTTTTAATACGAACACAAAATACTTAAAGTGAAAGAACTTTAATTAACAACAAAAGAAACAATGAACCAAAAAAAGAAAAAAAATCCTCGTCCAGAACACATGTTTCCATGGTCGCGCGAAAAACGGGTTGATTCTTTATGCACTTAAACAATACTTGTTCACACCTAACATGTATTTCCGCGGTTATCTCAACAATTGAGTTGAAAGTAGACACCGTGTCTTTCCTTTTTTTTTTTTTTGTTTTTGTTTTTGTTGTATGAGATGTATTCTTTCACTATTAGGACTTAAAAATGTTCACGAAATGGAGTGGAGAAAAATAGAGATCATAAGATACATGATAAATATCAGGATATAATATGTGGAAAAAACGAAAAAAAATAAAAAAAATTGACAATGGAAATTGAAAATATGTTGTCTAATTATATTTATTAAATCTCCATGGTAGAACTATTATATAGAAAGATTGCATGCCTTGGGACCATGTTTAAGCATGATATTTATCGGCATAACTAACTGTATCACATTTATCAATAGTGATTTAATTATTTAAAAAATATTGAAATACAGAAGATTCACCGTGATGCATGTTTTCTTAAAAAAAAATCTACAAAAAGTTATTGCATATGTGAAATAAAAGGAAAATTAATAACTTTTGACTAAAAAAATGATGTTAAAATCAATTTGAAAATCAACAATTTTGAGATCGAATAGAAAACAAGTAATATTTTATAGCAAGAACTCCTATATTTCAAACAAAACCATG